TTTGCTAACTAGGGCTGCCTCTCTACAGAGAGAAAAGATAACTTTTAATTCATTTTATTTTGCCATTTCCATATCTCATACTTTTAATAACAAGGCAGAGTAATGTTAAGCAGTTGATGAAAAGGAAATTATATGGAAGTTCAGTTGAAAGGATGAAGGTAAACATTTTAGGTTTTTTGTTTTACCAAGTAAGCAGTAAAAGGTATAAAAAATTAATTCTTGATTCTTAATTTATTTTCAGAGAGAAAATAAAATTTGAAAGTTTTTTAATAAAGAGGAAAAGTCGTTCAATGCAGGGATTCTTTCTGTTCTCCCTTAACTGCTTTCTGTTTAATGTTGGAAGGAAACTCACTAGATATATATTTATCTGTTTAAATTGGAAGGGAACGGTTGAGCAATTGAGGCTTATGGATTTTATTACAACTTCAACCTTGCTTCACCCACCATTCATTTATATGCCAGTTGAAAAGCTTTCCAGATCAGACAGTGGTCGGAGCATGACCTTGTGTAAATCTCTGCCAAGTAGTGGTTTTGTGGCTCCTGGTTGCAAGAAGACAATGAGGTAGAACTGAAGAAGCTTCTTGGAGGAGAAGCAAAACGTTTTCAAGGAGGAAAAAAGTCCAATTCCCTTTTGAAAAGGTACCTTTGGGACAACCATGACCTGGATGACTGAGAGTCTCCATAGACACAATGAGCTAGTTATACGCTTCGAGTTGGCTCCCCATCCCATAATCCGGATGGATCTGCCTTCAATGCCTTTTAGCGCTATAAGGGTCAAGAGTCAAATTTCCAGAAGATACCTCAACAAAGGTAATAACGTCTTTAATCACACCTTATTTGTTTACAGAAGTAAATTAACCCCGTCCCAGACGATATACTCCAGCTTCCAGACTGCTTGGAGAAAACTGCGTCTGAAATTTGAAAATACCCGCTGACTCGATCAGGGCAGTATTTAGCAATATCTCAGTAAAAAATATCAATACACTGAAAATGTAATATATATATATATTACAGGCCAGGAAAACACGGACGGATATAGTTGGAACATGCCAAAGTAACGCGTATTGTTCCTTTTATCCTGAGAGTTGGACCTTCGATCTCAAACCGTTTTGAGTCGCTTCGGAACCAAAAAGATTCTCCAGGCATTCCGCCACCGACCGGATTCCCACCAGAACAGATCCCCGAGTCGGAATTTCGTGAACGATCGAGATTACAGCGAAGAACTCGGGCGAGAGACAAAAAAACTCGTTAATCGCTCTTTAGAGGAGTCCGCGGCAGCCGTCGATCGCTCCCCTTCCCCGCCCTCCCATCGCCTGGTCCCGTTAAAATCCCATTTCTTAGTCGGAGTTGCGCCGCTTTCGGAATCCGAAATCGACGCCTTCGCAAAACGCACAGAAGAGGGCCAGGACGGCAGCCGGCCTGCCTGCCTGCCTGGAGAGCCAGCGGCTCTTGCGCGGATTTGCGTTTCCCAGCGCTTTGGGTAACAGCAGCCGCATTTTTGTAAAAGGTGGGAGATTTAAAGGGGTGAGGTCTGTATCTGAAGCAATCAAAACGAACTCCTTCTGGTTCCAAGAAAGGGAATTTGCCAGATCTCAGGACCGACCCCTCTGCATAGCGGAGCGAGTGCGGGAAAGGTGCAAAAACGCAAGAATCGCCGTTTGGTGAAAGTTTCGTTTGGGTTACGCGTGGGGGTGCGTGGGGGTGTAATTGGCCGCTCAAAATATAAAATATAACCAGTCATATCAGGATCCAGGCCAGGAACGGAAGCGGGTGGCCCCCAAGGACGAAAAAGAATCGTGTACTTAAAACTTTTTTCCCTTTGGGATTTCAAAAGTGGACTAAAGTGTCCACTTTTGTACCCATTGCTGCGGATGGTAACAACAACAACAGAATCCGCCTGATACGGTATAAAGTGAGTAGGAAACGGCTTTTCAGGCCAGGGCTGCTGCTCCGCTACACCCCACGTAACAAACATCCAATTTAATTCCTCTTGTTGGAGGTGGACTGGATCTGAGTTTGTAAGCATTCCTTTTTCTCTCTCCTGGCACGGGAGGGGAGGGGGGTTGCAAAGCAAGACTCCCCTAACCACCCCCGCCGGGCAAGGCTTCCCCAGAGCCGCTCCTTCTCTTCAGGCCTCTTCCCCCAGGAGGGGGGGAAACGGGAGTTCCTAGATGGGGCAGGGGTCTCACTGACCCCTTCGTCCCACTTCTACTAACGGCAATGAGGAGGAGAAGGGGCAGAGGGCAGTGCCTCCCCACCTCAATACCAGTTTCCCGAAAGGCCGCTTGAGCCAAGTTATTTTGTCCTCTGGTGTCATCCCTCCTCTCTCGTTCTTTAATAGGGAGAATTCGCTTGGAAAACTCGACGTTCGTATTTGGATCAAATCCGAAAATTTTGGAAAAGTTCTCCCCGAAGTGATGAACGCGTGTATCACCTTTAAAATATCCTCCTTTCCGGCTCGCCTCTACTTTCCTACCTTCCGATTTTCCGGTGACCTTTATTTCCTAACAAAGATTTTAAGACAGTTTTTAACTTTATCGTTTAAATGATGTCCTCCCTCCCCCAACTATAATCAACCGTTTCCTTCTTTCTACCTTTCGCATATTTACACTGGTCAGATCCACTCACTCCCATTTTTCTATTCTCGTGTCTCACGCAAATTTATCCTGAAAAAGAAATGACAAATAAACACGAATAGAATCGGGGAAAGGGGCCTTCAGACGATTTTAGCACATAGGAATTCTAGCGCGCATGTCACGCTAACCGTCTGAATCGGAAACGGCTTTTTCTTTCTTGCTCTTCCCCCGAATTCTCGTGAGACACGAACGACTTTTGATCCCGTTCTGATTATTTCGGTGTCAGGGCACGTGACTCGGGTGAGAGCCGACCCGGCCTCGCTCCGATGGAAGACGGACGTCAAAAGTTCGCGAACATTTAAGTCTCGTGTTTCCCGGATTCTGAAAAACGATCGAACCGGTGCAGAATGCAAGCCAAGATCACTGAAAGGTTCAATCTCCACGTCTGTCTTTCTTTCAAATGTCTGCCTGCTTTCATTTCCAGAAAACTGGAAATCCCAATCTGAATCCGAATCGGATTAAGAATAAAACAGTAAACCATACAAAAGGGCGACAGGGAAAAAAAAACGAAAGGAAAAAACCTGAAAGGGAATGAAATCATATATATATATATATTTAAATGATATATACGGTATATATATGATATATATATATATATATACGGTATAACATATATATATTATACCGTATGTAGTGGTGAAGAAGAGAGACCAGCGCTGATAGTCCTTGGCTGCCTTCAGGCGTCAAATCCGAATTCCTAAATTGCTCCTTCCTAAAATGTTAAGCCTCTTCCTCCCCCGTGTTACTATAATGCTGCACTGCATTTGTTTTAATTCACACCTATGTTATTCTCATACTGGCTTCTTTAAAGTTGGTCGCTGACCTAAATCAACAACGAGAACACCTCTTCCCCATTTGTGCCGGCCCTTCCAGGTGATTCGATCGGTGGTGAGAAAGTTAATTTTAGGTACAATATTCCGACCAATTTGATGCGGCCGCCTTTCTATGAAGTGGGAGCGCAGGTAGGCGCAAGACTTCTCTTTCTTGCCAATCTTGCTTTCAAAGACCTTTACGCATATTTGAGAGCTGAAGCAGAGAAAAGGGTTTGGTTGAGGAGCTTCGGCATGGGGTGAGGAGCAACCCATTAGAATGGACCTGATTGGGCTCCCAGCAACTTTCTCCGAAGAGCATCTGATCCATCTTTCCAGATGAAGGTATCAGCCAAATTAATTATGTAGATGATCAGAAGTGTCCGCTTTGCCCTTCACAATCTTGTCGCGTCCGGGCCACCGGGAATCAAAAGGCAGCGCTGGGTCTGGGCGTCCCACCCATTGAAACCGGCAGGGGAGGGGACGAGGGAGGACCCCCTACCGCAGGAAAGCGAGCTCACTCTCTGAGTTTGCAGGCACCGGGGATTTTGCTCGGGGACCTGAGAGGGGCCCCCTCCCCAAAGAGTCATTGGCTGCTCCCCAGGGAAGGTGCGTTTTTTTTTTTTTTTAGCAACCGACGCTGTCATTGGTGGAAGGGGCCGTGCTGCTACCCTGAGCTGCGGGACAACCCGGTTCAAATGGGAAATACTACTGAGCCCGTTTCACAGCGCAATCGCTCAACCACTTCCCCGTAGTCATCTGGGTTTAGCCGCGGAACACTTTCTGCATTGCTCCATGGCATCCAGATTAAGGGGTCTGAGAATCCGGTTGAAACTAGTGCTATTGTAAAGCCCCCCCCATTACAATTTGGCATCTTACAGACTCTCAGCTCTCCCCACTCTTATTTTACCCCCCCCCCTTGGGTCCCCATCCTGCGCGTTGTTCAGAAGAAGGGAAGTCTGGTCTTCCCATTGCATTCTTCCTGCAAACTATTGGAAATGCGAGGAGCTCTCTTGAAACCTAGAGTTCCTAAAGAGACTGAACTCCTACATACAGGTAGTCTTCGACTTACAACAGTTCATTTAGTGACCCTTCGAAGTTACAAAGGCACTGAAAAAAGTGACATGACCATTTTTCACACTTAACAACCTTTGCAGCATCTCCATGGTGCCATGATCAAAATTCAGATGCTTGGCAACTGACTCAATTTATGACGGTTTTGGCGTCCTGGATCATGTGATCACCTTTTGCGACCTTCTGAGAAATAAAGTGGAAGCCAGATTCACTTAACAGCCCCTGTTACTAACTTAACAAATTCAATGATTCCCTTAACAATTGTGGCAAGAAAATTTGCAAACTGGGGCAAAACTCACTTAACAAATGTTTCACTTTGCAACATAAATTTTGGGTTGTTGTGGTCGTAACTCGAGGATTACCTGCAGTTGGCTGGGCGGCCCAGGGAACTGCTCCCCTCGCAGCGCCAGATTAGTATCCTGGTGCAACGCGCGCCTGGCGGCAAGGCAGGTAGTTTCCCCCATAGCTGCGCAAAGGACTTTCCCAGTCTCGACTGCATTCAAAGCGGAAGGAGGGGGGAATCTGTCCCTCAAACAGCTCCCGTGGGTGTTTCCCGCTGGCAATTTTGGAATGAGAAATGTTGCACCCAGGTTGGATCAGTCCTAATTAATCTGCTAACTTCTTTCCCGAGACTCAGCCGTCTGCATTTAATTTTCTTGTTCAGTTCTAATAGTGCAAGGGATTAAAGGGGGAACCTTAGTCACTCACAGAAAGGCACACACCTGAATGCGGAGCATGGGTCCTCCCCACCTTTTTTCCTCGCTAGAAATGCATATCTTTCAAACCTTCCTTCCGTTGACTGGGGACGCGTCTTAAATTCTAGCCTAGCCCACAAATTACCGGATAGCGCCAGAAAAATAAATGTTTTGACAAAGCGGTGGATTGCTCGACTCTACAAGGAGGTGGGGGGGGGGCTCATATAGACTTAGAAAAGAGCCTTTGACTGGACAAGACCAGGTGAGCTGGCTCGCAGTTAGTGACGACCTCCCCAACACCGTGGGTGGAGCACGTGCACCTAAGCCGCCTTCCCATCCCACGAAACCAGCCCTGGCCCGAGTGGGTTCCCTCTCTCTTGCAAGCCCAACGCCGCCACTCGAAAGCAGGAGCGAGGCGTTCGAGGCACGCGTGTTTCGGTGGCGACGCAACTTCTTTCAATCTTGGCCAAGCTGGACATCGCTCTCGGTAAGGAGATGGGCAGATCTAGTTGGTAGGTAGCGGATCGGGCCCAGAGACAGCCCGATCAAAGTTTCACTTTTTATGGAGAGGGAAACGATCCAGGGCAGCTTGTCCATCAAGTTGTCTTGAGCGATCGCTCCTTCACATGCTCATCAAGCCGGGATTCTCTCTAGCGAAAAAACAGACGTGGTTGACCAAGGCATCTACCGTTCAGAGACGCCAGTTCGGGGAATTGTCTCCCAAGGAAAAACAGCGCGGGAGAAGGGGGAAGAGAGAATGGGGATACACAAGATACTTTTGGGACGTATCTCATATCTCCTTCGTAGAAGCCTTCTAAACTTTCACCCCATGAACAAGATGAACAATTCTGAAGAAGTGAAGTGTTGGTAAGGAGCTCACACCTGGAGCTGAGGCGCGAGAATACAGATGGTACTCTAGCTCCCGCCTCCCCATTACAGGCGGGGCTGTTTCTTCCAGCTGCTGAAACGACCCCAGCTGGTCCCGGACTAGCAGCTCCACGCAGGCCGAAACAAGCGACGGGAGGAACAGAGCCCTGATTGGTGGATGCGGCTTCGTTTCGCGCCTCCCGTTTTAAGTTGATGGACAGCCGGGTTGGGGGGGGGTGCTGTTTGCGAGCGGCCCCCGCTCTTTTCCTTTCTGTTTCGAAAAACCCTCCCCGGCCTTTCGCTTTTTCCGCCCCCCGATTCCCTCCGGTAGTTGTCATTTGCTTGCTTGCTTGCTTTCAAAAAATATACAGATACACAAGCCTGTGCGTTGATTAAATCTAATTGCAAAGAATTGTGTGTGTGTGTGTGAGACTAGAGGGATCTTGCACACCGCTCTCTATCTCCGCAGTAATAACGGATCTCTCTCTGCCCACCTCCTCGCCCCGTGCTGGGTCCGCTTGGTGTGTTCATTCCCCCACCTCAACCCGGGCTTCTATTCATTCCCTAGATAGCTTAGGCGGTTCAGATGGGACGTGAATACTGGCAGCTCACTTCAAATTAAAATCATTTCTGGGTCATGTAACGGGGCCACTCTACACCTGAAGAACGGCCGGCTGCAAAGACAGCATTCGGTTGTACGTTCGGCTAAGATTCCCTCGGTTACAAAGTGAGCTGATTGAGCACCTGATTTTGCAGGATCCGGCCGGAGATTGAAGATTGAACAGAACCTGTGTGTCTCTCCCGACCCACTCCCCACATTCAGGATGTTGGCAGGTTGAGTGTCAAAAAAGTCAAGATGGCGGTTGCGGCCACGCGATTGAAGTTCCTTCGGCTTCTTGAGGGAGCTGGCCGCCATTTTAACTGTTTTGACGACACGCTGCTTCCTTTCCCCGGTTTGCCATTGGCTCTCTTAGAAATCTACCAGCGGGGCAGGAGAGAAAGTACACGCGTATATCTGTGTATTCTCCTGTGGATAAAAAAATAATGGTGAGATTGCGACGGACGGGGTGGGAAAAAAGACCCCCAAATGTGCTCTTGTTTTGCTTCCCTGTCCATTCTCTGGATCAATCTGTCGGGGCAGCTTTTGGCCGAAATCGTCCAGATTCCCCTCAGCTGAGGGAAAAAGACCGTCCCTAACCTCCACCGGACACATTGCTTCTCAAAGGAGACCTGCCAGGTTTTTTTCAAAAGTTCTTCTGAACGCCTCAGAGGTCCGTTGAAGTCCAGAAACGCCTCGCGATTTGGGGCGCAATCAAATGAAGGACCCGCATCTCCTCGCCAGATCCCTGCTTTTTCGGCTCCTCTCATATCCCGAAACTTCCTCGGGGTTAATTATGCTGAAATAAGGGATTCCGAGGCTCGCGTTGGTTAATTGGTTAATGACGCTCTTTCAGGCGCTCAGAGAGAGAGAGAGAGAAAAGGAGGCGTCGCTGAAGTTCTCAGACTCCCCCAACTGTTAGCAGGGCCACCCTTGAGCTGTGGCAGGATTGCCTCGGGTCATGTGCAGAGTGCCTTCACCGTTCAACTCCCCCGCCTCCCCCCTCACAAGGTTCAGATTAGGATTAGGCCTTTCAAATCAGCTCCAGAGCAATAGGAAGGAGAAGAGGAGAGGAGGACTCTTTAGCTTCGCCTTGGCCCTTCTTCGGCCCAGCTCCCTCCCGCCCTCCTGTGCCGCGGGGACCTTTCACACTCACCCCGCTTCCCTGCCGCGTTCCCACGAGGACCGCTCCGGCCTCTCCTTTCGGGAGCCCGCCTGAGCTCCCTTCTAAGGCTAGCCGAGCTCTGCTGCCTCCTCTTCCCCTCTTCCCCCCCCCTCGCTCCCCAAACCAGCGGCGGCAGCAGGTAAAGGGAGGTCGGCTGCCCTGGGACTTTGGCAGGGTGCCCGGAAAAGGTCTGGCCTGGAGAGGGGAGGGCGGCGGTGGGAACCCCGCAGATGCTGAGACCTTCCCTCGCCAGAAGGGCTGGGCTGACCCGCTGCAGGGACGAGGACGGCGGGGGTTGTATATGGGCCAGCATGTATGTGTGTGGGTGTTTGTGTGTATGTGAGAGAGAGAGAGAAAATGAGTGTGTGTGTGTGTAAGAGAATGAGTGTGTGTGTGTGAGAGAGAGAATGAGTGTGTGTGTGTGTGTGTGAAAGAGAGAGAGAATGAGTGTGTGTGTGAGAGAGAATGAGAGTGTGTGTGTGAGAGAGAGAAATGAGTGTGTGTGTGTGTGTGAAAGAGAGAGAGAATGAGTGTGTGTAAGAGAGAAAGAGAGAAACTCGGCTTGCTTCCCTTCTGCTAAGAAAAGTTTGCAGTCGCTCTCAAAAGTTCAGTTTGTCCTCCAATTGCCTTCTAAGTAGTAAGTCCTTCTAAGAAGGAGTAGCTCCTTCTAAGAAGAATTCACTGTCTTTGTTGGGGTTTGGGGCCACAAAGGGGAGCCTTTGCCGTATTTCTTCGTCTACAGCCCCATCGGTGTTTTCTAGCAGGGCAAGTACAGCTGAGCCCAAGGCCTCTGGGGTTGTCAGCCCATCCCCCCTCCCTCCTTCCCAGTCCTCAACCACCCCCACCCGCACCCGCACCCTCACCCTCACCAAATCAGGTTCTCTTGTCCAGCGAATCCAAGGCCCTGGGAGAGGCTGCGGGGGGGGGGGGGCTGCCGTGCTCTGCCGCTTCTTTGTGGGGTGAAGTGGGAAGATGAAAAGGAAGAAAGGAGATGGACCAGCCTCTGTTTGTACAGATAGTCCTTGACTTACAACAGTTCATTTAGTGACTGTTCAAAAGTTACCACGGCACTGAAAAAAGTGGCTTATGACCAGTTTTCACACTTACGACCCTTGCAGCATTCCCCTTGGTCACGTGATCAAAATTGGCAATGGGTTCATATGATGGTGGCAATATCCCATGGTCATGTGACCACCTTTTGTGACCTTTTGACAAGCAAATAGGGAAGCCAGACTCACTTAACAACTTTGTTATGAATTTAACAGCTGTGTTGGTTCACTTAATAACTGTGACAAGAAAGGTCGTAAAATGGAGCAAAACTCACTGAACAAATATATTGCTTAATAATGGAAACTTTGGTCTCAATTGTGGCCGTAAGTAGATTACTACCAGTATTTATTTAGCTGGCAAAGAGCACTGATTGACAGCTGACAATTCCTCCTCTAGTCCTTGCCCTGAAATACTTTCTATTGAGTCTTCCCTCCCCCCTTCTTTTCCTCTGTGGGCACTGATGAAAGCTCCCGCACTCTGGCCTCAGGGCCCAACTGCAGGTCAGCCCCTCCTGGCCTCAGGGCCCAACTGCAGGTCAGCCCCTCCGCCTCCCTGCCTCTCCATCAGAGAAGTTGGGAAAAGAGCTTCTCCAATCCTCAGGATTCCTCCCCAGCCTTCCCTCTGCTCTATCCTCCATTGCCCCAAGTTGATTTGCTCCTTGAGCTTCCTAAGATTCAGCTTGCCTTCCCCTCCTACCAGGGGTGAAATCCAGCAGGTTCTGACAGGTTCTGGAGAACCAGTAGCAGAAATATTGAGTAGTTCAGAGAACCAACAAATACCACCTCTGGCTGGTCTCAGAGTGGGGTGGGAATGGAGATTTTGCTTCCCCTGTATCCTTCCCCTGCCACGCCCATCAAGCCACACCCATCAAGCCACACGACACCCACCAAGCCATGCCCACAGAACCGGTAGTAAAAAAAATTGGATTTCACCACTGCCTCCTCTCTGCTACTACTTCTGTTGCTGCTGGGGGGGTGTCTTGTCCAGGGATAAGCCTGCTAGACCATACTTCCTTGACTAGGGATTGAAGCCACTGTGTGCGCTGGTTCTCATTCCAGTTGCCTAAGCACATTTCTCAGGAAAGAAATGTCAGGACATGGTCTGGGGGTTTGCTTCCTGCCCACAAGCAGGGAATATGCCTTTCATCGAAGAGATTGTTTTTTAATCTCTAATGGCAACGCAGAGAGACAGTGTGGTTAGTGGTTAAGACACCAGGCTCAGTGGTTGGTAGCTACCGGTTCGCCCAAGTTCAGGCAAACCAGTAGCAGTGGCAGTAGGAGGCTCCGCCCACCCAGACGTCACCAATTACAATCTGCGTATGCGCAGAAGCTTCTGCACATGTGCAGACGGGGCGCGCGCCAGCGAAGCGGTAGCAAAGGTAAGTGAAACCCACCCCTGGCCAGGCTAGAAACCAAAAGATTGTGAGTCCTGCCTTATGCACAAAACTTGCTGGGGGACCCTGAAACAGCCATTCTCTCTTAGGTCTGGGAAGAAAAAGGCAATGGCAAGCCATTTCCAAAAATGTTGTCAAGTCCACCTTGCGGAAACTTGCCCAGGCAGTCACCCAATGATTGGAAGGAATCTCACAACCCCAACCCCACAAAAAATAAAATCAAATGTCAGCATCCTGCCAACCATGACTGACCTGTAAAAGAGGACCGGGGCCTGGCTTGGACTCCCCTAGGAAACTATCAGGAAATCTCAGAGCTGTTAAACTAGAACTGGGATTTTAAAAAGTAAATCGTCCCAGAAAAGGCCACAGCAAAGCAATTCCATATTACCAGAACTGAAGGTGCCCATGAAGTCACCGGGAGTTCAGCTTAACTAAAAGGCAGAGGTTACTGTAGAACAAGTGTGTCCAACCTTGGCAATTTTAGGACTTGTGGACATCAACTCTCAAACTTCCCCAGCCAGCCTGGGTGCAGTGGCCATAGTACATGTATAGACCAGTTTAACTGGTTGGACACCTTGTATGGAGCTTAGCAATGAAATAATCAAACTATGAAAAGTGGGTTCATATGGATACTCTCTGAAGGGCCCAATTCATTCTTTCATTGTTTTTAACATAGGACGTGCCTGCAAAAGTAAAGATATCTCCTTGTATAAACATCCTGGGATACAAAGTAAAGATATCTCCTTGTATAAACATCCTGGGATACAAAGTACCTGAGATACAAAGTAAAAATATCTCTTATCTCTTTGTAAACACATTCCTGAGAATCAGATAACAGAGATGGGCCTCTCGCCTGGTAGTATCTGGTACCAAGCAGCCAGAGTTAGGTTTTGCTTTTTATCTTTACCATTGTTTTCCTATCTCTCGTATGTAATATGAGATGTGTGGCCATAATAACGCCTTCTGATGACGCTGTATTTTGGTAACTAATAAAAGAGATTGTAGCTCTTTGTTTGCTGCTCTCTCATCCCGAGAAACACCTGTCCTTGTGTCTTCTCTAATCTGGACCATACATGAGGAGCCCGCCAGGATGAATTCAACATCTGGTGTCCCCGACGTGATTCATGGATCGAGCACGTCTCTTGGCACCCTCATACTCATTCGGCTGGAAGAGCCTCTGCAAACCAGGGCCGGTCGTCTGCGAACGAAGCACCCTCCCATAAATCGTGAGTATGGGGGCAGAATTCTCTAGTTCTCCCAGGTTACGTACCTCCACAAACTTAGAGAATTGGCCAAGTCTTCAATTATTGTTTTAAAAAGATAACGGGAAAGTCCTGCCCATGAAAAGAATTTGATCTACCTTCTAAAATACTTTTGGCAATAAAAGGGCTCTTTAAAAGTGAATATGTGGAAGCAGATGGGAACATGCCTCCACAAACCTCCCCAGCCCTGAAAAATTTTTTGCACTCTGGAGATTAGTTATAGAGTGTTTTATGATACATGAAAAAATAAATAAATAAAAGCCTTCAGGACACTGTTAATAGTTCCTTTTCAGACTTTGTTGAGAGATTGCTCTCACGTTAAATCACCCACGCAGACGCACGGCATGAAATTAAGCATCAGCTCATTCTGAAGGAGTCAGTTACACCCCCATTAAGCAGAATTTAAAGAAACAGTTAGACAAAAAAAGGGGGATGGATAGAATAAATTGCTGAAATGCTTTCTGTGTGTCTACCGGCTGCAACTTTGCACGTTTATTTGGCAGATATGATTAAAGTGTGTCAGGATCATCGTATAGATGACATTTAAATTGGAGCACAAAAAATACAACCTAATTGGCTTTTTGAAAATACAAAATGATTTATGTGTAAATGAATTGCACATTGCCCCAGAAAAAATACAACTGTATGCTTCTTATCTGTATAGGGCATAAACTATGTGCAATCTCTTTCTGCTCCGGCTTTTAAAGTTACCCAAAGTTAAATTTGCAACAATTACTGGATACTATTAATTGGGACTGCTCATATTTCTCTTTACCTATGCATTTACTTAGTCCATTATTTGAGTTATTGACTAAAAGAAAAAGCCAGGAGATTTAATTCTGTTTTAGAACAGCAAAAGGTACATTGCTTTATTTGTCTTATTACCATCTAAAAATGTTTTACCCTTTATTTAAGCTATTGCTGAAATTATAACCATGGGACGTAATCCACACTGTCGAAGAAATGGAACTGATCTAATAAATATTATTCTTTCTATCTCAAAATCTGACTTTTACTTTTGTCTTCGAATGATTCATCTCTTCAGTGTGCTCTAACTGACTATGTAAACTGTATTTCATATCATTTGCCTAAAGATCCTAGGTTTACTTGCTTAATGATTTTCTCCAGAGGAGCCACTGCTTACAAGGATACTCATGACGACATCTGGAAAGAATCTTACACTAATTGTCTGCGACTATCTTAGCTTTCACACTTTTTCTCAACAAGCTTTTAATTTGATCTCTGACTCTCAGTATGTTTCTCAGGCTGAAAAAATAAATAAATAAATAAATAAATTGTTTATTGTTCTTCCCACCCGGGGTTTAGCAGGAAATAAAATTAGAGCCTGTCTAAATGGGAAGACTCAGATAATTTGAA